TAGAACAAGATTTTTGAAAATCAAAAATTGAATGTTTTTTCAATTTGTTAGAATAGCCAGATAGTAGAATAAACATTCTCTCTTAAGTGTGTAACTCAAGGAAGATGTCCCAGACCTAAGGTATTCTGGGAAGATTCTAAGTAAGATTAATGGCATTTATCCTTTCATCTATAAAACAGGAAGCAGGAGAAGATTTCTGAAAGCACCCTTCCATCTCTTTATATTAAGATAGTTATAATTTTAGTTTTATAGATATCAAGGAAATACATGCTCATAATTTAATGTTACATTATAATTACATTATATTACCTTTTATAGTACATTAAATCAAAGTGTTAGCACAGTTTTGAAATCATGTCCACATAGAAACAAGTCCTGGATAGTATTGGCTGGAAAGGCTTATGGGGACAGTGGACCCAAGGTGAACATTTCCTTCTCCTGCTTTATAGGCCACTTCCTTAACTGTGGACTCCTGTTCTGAGAACCAAGAACCAGGATATTGTACTGTCAGTAATGTGGCAGTTTCAGATGACTGGTAAGTAAAATAATTAGTTTGGTCTTTATTATTACTTGAAATTAAAAAAGAAATTTTACACTTAAAAGTAATTATGCTATTACATAAAAGTAGAAGATACTTTATTTCTCCCCCAAACTTTTTCATACCATAAAATACTCTAATATAAATGAAATTACAGAATATTGTATTAAAAAGGTGTGAAATAAAGTACTAGAATGAAAATAAAACTAGAGAAGAGAAAGTTTAATGTCGTCAGTATTTTTTGGAAAACTTCATGAAATAATTGCATATGATTTTGGTTCTGGAAGAAGTGTAAGATTAGGACCCCAAGTCTTTCAAAACACATTCTGTAAAAGTTTATGTGCCGATTATCAGTAGATTTTTTTTTAATAGCACCTAAAGCCAAAATATACCATTAATCTATCAAAAAATAAGTGATTTTAATAGAAACAGTAACAAACAGGGAAAAATAAATATTCATACATCATTCATATTCACTCTTTTTTAAACTAAACATTCTACTAAAAATCTTTTTTGTTGGTACTAATATTCTTACCTTTGCTTTCTTATTTAGGACTCTTGATGTTCAGCCAAATCGAGTCACAGTTGGAGGTATCAGGTCGCTAGAACCAATCCTTCAGAGGAGAGGACACGTGGAAAGCCATGATTTTGTTGGGTGTATAATGGAGTTTGCAGTCAATGGGAGGCCTCTGGAACCCAGCCAAGCTTTGGCAGCACAAGGCATACTAGATCAGTAAGGCAATTTCATTTCTTACAATTTTAAAGAAAAATGCCAAAAGTATATGATGCAGTAATTGAGCATCAAAAGATGAAATTATTGTACTCAAATGCCTAAAAATACCAAATGTTTTACATTGCTTTGAATTTTAAATATTATTAATAACTCTGTGATGAACACAGTTTCACAAAAATCTTTGCGTATGAGTTTCTTGGATGTGATCTCTAGAAATAAAATTACAAAGACAAAGCTGTGAATACATTCTCATGTTTGTGACTTAAGTGCTTAAATACATTTGGCATTTGCCTTTCTTATTCTACATGTTGTTATTGTTCTGTTACAAAGTATTTCTAGCTCATAATTATTATTAATTGAACAATATGGAAAAATACAGGGTCGTGATTGTCAACCATTGGTAATACTTTGGTGTGGATCCTGTATCTTTCTCCATGTTCACACAAATACTTTTTTAAATATCAATTTTTTTCCTTTTAAAAATATGTTGTGAACATCTTTTTAGGTCCAAACCTGCTCAGACAAAACTTTTAGACTTGCCTTTGACTCCCCTCTTTCTGTCAGACCTTATATCCAGTCTACCAGTAACCAGAATGACAAATTTAAAATCCAAGTCAGTTCTTATCATTTCTCAGCTCCAAGTGCTTCAATAACTTACCATCTCGCTCAGAGTAAAAGTCAAAAGTCCTTACCCTGACTGACAAGGCTTTATGATCTGGCCTCCCCCTTAATTTCCTGACCCCTTAACTTCTAGACTCCTTAACTTCTCCTTCTTGTTCACTCAGCTCCCGCCATGTCAGGCCTCTTGGTGTTCCTCAAACATGGCAGTACACTTTCACTTCAGAGCTTTCTCACTTGCTGTTTCCTCTGCCTGGAGTGATCTTCTACCAGAAATACTTTGCTCCCTTATTTTGTAGATCTTAACAAAGACAGGTTCTTCTGTCACTGCCTAATCTAAAGACCCCGCAAACCCCTGCAGTCCCTATACACTTTCTCTGTCTTAATTTCCCATAGAACTTCCCTCTTTCTAACATAACTACATATATAGAAACTTTTTTCTTTATTGTTTGTCTCTTCCACAAGGAAATATAAATACTTCATGAATGCATGGATTTTTTTTTATCACTTTACTTCCATGCTTAGAACAGTACTTGGCATATAGTAGACATTCAATAAACCTTAGTTGCCTGAGTAGCCTGGTAGAGAGGTATCACATAAGTATGTGGCCCCTGGATCATCTTAGCTGAAATGTTTATTTGACCAAGGTATCTTGCCCAAATAAGATTTAATTTCAAGAAGAAATTGTAACCTCTTTTTCTTTATTGTGAAAGTTGTTCTTTTTATTTAATCTTTTCCTTTAGCATGAGACAAACCATGGGTTACAGGACAACTTCTAGTTTGATTAGTCGTTCTAAATGTAGTTGGAACTTGAGCTTCAAATAATTGAGTGCTTGAAATTAAACAGGTTCATAAAAGTTGATGTCTACTTTTTGCAAACTTTCCCCTATCTTGCATGTGCTTTATGGCTCTTTATTGTGATTTTTATTACAGATGCCCTAGACTAGAAGGTGCTTGTACTCGCAGCCCCTGCCAACATGGTGGCACATGTATGGACTACTGGTCATGGCAGCAGTGTCAGTGCAAAGAAGGATTGACTGGGAAATACTGTGAAAAATGTATGTGAGCTCGTCCATCTTTCACTGGAAATTATAACTATGAGAAGACAAATAGATGCATCCAAATATGTGGTTGAATTAGAAATTATATTTTCATCCTAAATATTGAAAATATTAAATGGAAAATGATTGGTAAAATACAGTGACAGTATTAAATTTAATTTTTTAACCTGAAGAAAAATGACATCCTTATAAAGAATTATTTAAACTCAACTAAATCTTTAGCTTCCATTTTATAAATATATCATTCTGTTATTTTTGTTTTAATTACATAAAAGTAGAAGATACTTTATTTCTCCC